ACGCACGGTGGTCTGAAATCGAATCTTAGGCGAAAAAAAGTGAAAGAAAATTGTTTGCTCGTCATGCAGGGAGGTTATAATATGAATATAACTTATAAGATGTTGCCCACGATGTAAATAACCTAAAGTTTATGTTTTGTAAGAAACAAGAAAACAGAAAATTCACACCAATATAATTTCGAGACTTTAAGAATTTGTCTTTTTTTTATTATTATTCCCGCCGCCTGGTATTTTTTTATATTTTTGCAAATTATTTCTCTTATCAGATCTGCCCCAAGTTGCAACCACAGACTATGAAATAATATAATAATACTAGCTCTAAGTATAACTCGGGGCCCGTTGGAATCGCTGAGAGTGGGTACCGATTTTGGAGACAATGAATTATAAAAGTCGCAAAGGTTGTAAGACGAAAATTTAGGATTTGTGATAAGGATTAGTGATATGGATTGGAGATAAGGCTAGACGCTTTGGCGGGAATGTTAAAAGTTTGAGTGTCTAGCAATCCGCCACAAACGTTGTAAATGGATAGGCTGGATACGATCTCCAGGATCACCTATATAGAGTATACCTGCACATAGAGTGGTATGTGCCGTAGCATGACTGGTGCTTTATCTTATGTAAAAAGTGTAAAGTCGAAAACCGTGTTGGAGTTTCTAGCAAGTCAGTCATCTCAAGTCAAAATCTATTAACTTTCAAGTTAGCCACTTAGGTAGGCAATCCGACTTCGTCGGATCGCGGACTATGTGCTACAGCAAATCAGGTAGGCAATCCACCTGCGGTGGATTGCAGACTCGACATCAAGCGTGAAGCGGCTATAAGTGAAAACCTTATCACACAACTTACGAAATAATTTACGAAAAATTCAAACTATATACATACAAACAAATATGATATGTATTTATTGTGTGATATAATATAACAATGAACATTTTGAGAAATGTGCAATTATAATTCCTAAAAAATATTAACATATTGGTAGATAGTTAGATACATACTATTATATTAACCAATACATATAAACATGTACCTATAGGCTATAGTGTATATATATTAATTTAAAAAAAAATTGCAAAAACCTGCATGTTATTTGTTAAAGTGTCTATCAAGTCAATCATCACCGTTTAAGACGAAACTAAAATGAGCAACCCGTCTATCACCTATATATAGTAGGTATATCACATAGAGTGGTATGTGCCTTCGCATGTCCGGTGCCTTTTCTTATGTAAAATGTGTAAAGTCAAAAACCGTGTTGGAGTGTCTAGCAAGTCAGTCATCTCAACTCTCAAGTCAAAATCAAGATTAACTTTCAAGTTAGCCACCTAGGTAGGCAAACCGAAATAAAATACAAACTATATTTATATAACAATCATGGACATTTTAAAAAATATGCAATTTTAATAATTCCTAATAAAACAAATATAATATGTACCTATTTATTGTGTGATATAAAATGATAATGACTTTAAATAATAATAATGTACGATATGTTCCTGTATTATTATATTATTATTTAATTTATATGAAAAATAACGTGAAAAAAAAATGCAAAAAAAGTCGGGATTCGGGCGGCCGTGTAAACCATTTGCCATTAACGGTATCAATGCCCAGACGGCGTACGACGGATTTGAACCCGGGACCTACGTGTTTCCTACCTAACGCCTAACCTACTCGGACACAGTTTGAGATATGAAGGACAGTGAAAACATCAACAATTAAGCCGTGCGTCTACGGAGCGACGTAAACCGATATATTCGATGTACATCGATGTAATCGCATATAATTCGCTTGTAATACGCGCATCTCCCATATATATATTTAACGGGGCGTGTGAAAAGCGTTTTCCGTTAATAATTATTACATCATAGGGAAAAATTAAATTATACACTTATGTATATGTATATATCCGTGTACGGTAGGTCGGTCGCCGGCGTAATTTCTAAACGCGATTGCGAGGCGAACGAACCGATTTCGGGGGAAAAGCCCATATAAACGGCTTTAAAAAGACGTGGACTACACGATTCGGGCACAAACGGCGTGCGAATAGACGAAACGGTGGGAGAAAAGGAAAAAATCGGCAAAAAAGTCCGGTCGGGAGTGTATTTTTCGATCGACATTGCGACCGCTTCGAACGGCGCACGAATATAAACCGCACACCGGCGGCTTCGAATTAAGTATACAAAAGGACGGAAAGGGTCGAAATCGTGTAAAAACAGCTAATTTTCCGAAAATTTCAAAAATCGGCGAAATGATAGGAAAAGAGGTGATAACGAAAAACATTTTAAAACCGACCGCCGCCACTGCGAAGGTACGCGATTGGTCGCGCTATAAGGAATCGACGGGACATGGCCGGCGGGCTGGGGAAACGGAGCAGTGCTTCATTTTTTACGCCATGGGTTCGCTATAGCCGGCGTTTTCCTTTCCATTGGTACACTATAGACAGCTGATTTCCTTGTCATTTTATATATTAGGATAAGCTGTGGTATGAGTGATATGCCCCTCTATCTTTCTGGCGTTCTACGTTCTGGTCTTTCTATTTTCAGGTAAAATATTTTATGCAACATTTTTTTATGGATCATAGCGTTCTGTAAAATTGTGTTCTATTATATTCCATTCTGGAATTATACACCCAGCGGAATGAATATGTGAAGTGTTTGAGCTTTCGCAATAAGCTAAATAAAATTTGATTTTTATATTATTATATTATTATTATCATCTCTATTTTAGACCTATATACAAAATAATAATATTATGTGGACCATACACCTACACATTATATTATTAATTTTTATTATATATTATACGGACTAGATTCAACTAAAAATTGAATTGGACTTTTTTATGCATACAAAAACATTACATTCTCCCTCTCCATTGACCCATAAATCCCCTTATTTGTTTCTTTGGTACTACCCCCACATTGCATTTAAATATATTATTATTACTCATGACCTCCTCCCTCCATTGGAATTTCCTGGGCACACCACTGTTGTTTTAATTGTTTTTTTTGTGGAGTGAGGAGGTACTAGGTACCTAAAATACTGAATAGATTGTATGAATAAGCCCTCCTTGAGATTACCTAGCCGTAAGCACAAATCTACACAATATATCATATCAATACCTTAAACAGTTATACCTCAGCAGCTTATAACTTATAAGTTTAAAGTGTAAGGTTTATGCATAAATAAAAAATGCAATTCAAATGTTTTTCCACGCAATTATTTTCTAAATATTCTTTACTCCAAGACCATTATGTGCCAATGAATATTTGTTCCAAATGTTTTGTATAATAAATCCTGTGGAACAAATAAATTATGTAACAAACGTTCATCGGAACAATTAATGTAAATGTGAAAAGATATAATTGGATGAAATTTATATGGAAAAAATGTTCATTAGAACAAATGTCTTTCGACAAATATATATTATTGTATTGGAACAAATGTATATAGGAACAAAAGTAAAATTTGGAAGTTAATATCATTGGAATAAGTTGACTTGGAACAAAAAATTGTGGAACAAAAGGTAGTGATCCCATACATATACGTCCGTGGTCTTAGATTATATTCTATGGTGTTATCAAGCTGGCATGCCGTTTATTTATTTAGTCATGCATTATCTATGAAATATGAATTCAAATATCGAATATGATTAATGATAATTAAATCTTTAATCGTGAATGTAACATTAAACAATTTGAATTAATTAACAGTTTATGCCGTTTACCGTTTATATTTTAGTTTTTATAGTTGTTATTACATATTACTACTATAAGAAGTTGCTTGTTGGCTGTAGTACCTAATTGTAACAGTACCTTGTACCTATTATTCGAATTTAAATTGTCAACAATTCCAATAATATCAATCTTTTAGTTATCGGTTTTTTTTTTATATCTTAATGACTTACTAGAAATCGACTATTAATTTTAAATAAATAAACTAAACCATTGAATATTAAACAATTTGTCTACTTATTAATCTTTTCACCATTGATATGTTTCGCTTTCATGGATTAAAATTGCTTACAATTGTGACATATTTATTACTTTTTAAAGATAATTAATAATACTATGCATTAGAGTTTCCATGCTATTTAGATTTTATTTTGAATGGACATTATGTTAAAAACGAGTATTGTAAGTAGACAAACATTTATAACATAATATTTATATTATAAATTATAATCAATTCAATTAAAACAATAAATAACAATGGAACATTGTTGCGCTGCTTATGCAATAGCTTACACATTCTTAATAATTGTCTATACAGTGTCATTTCTGTAATTCGGCTATTTAAAAATCTGATACATCAGTCAAGGTTTATTATGTTATTATTAAGTACTCTATGTATACCTACTTTAGTATACTAACAACAATATCAAAAATATTACAGGACATACTTGTTATTAAATAAAATTTATCAAATAACAATGTTTACTTGATATGTTAAACTCTAATCCGGCATTGTTAAACTGGTAACACATTGTGCAATGATTTCCTCATGGAAAATGTTGTCTAATATCATACCATCTAAACAACTTACATGATTCACATCAGATTATAAAATGTTGGTAATTTAACTACTTGATAATAATTATGAGATGTGACTTCATAAAATTAACTGAGTCGGCCTACAACACTGTGTAGTTTGGCTGAATAGTTTTTTGTTGAAAAAGAAATCATAGTTGATACAAATGAAGAAAAAAACAATTGGACTGACGTAAACAAATTTACCTTGTTTGTGGAAATCATAGACCTATAAAAAAAGGTTCAAATTTCCTATAATAGGTATAACTTTTCCAATGACTAGACACTAGACAGTGATCGGATTCTACATATTATGTTGAATTCCCTAGTTTATCCTGTATATTTATAAGACTGAATAATAAATATAATATATTATTTTCATATTGTAATTTAATACTTACCGGATTTTAATTATTTTTAGGTATTACATACCGTAATTTAAATATATATTATATTATATTTACCAATATTTAAAATGAAAAAAGTGAAAAATCCATATGTGCCATTGCATCATTTTGAAATATTTTGCTATACAGTTATATGGGCTTCAGGCATAATTTGTGCTGTTTATAATTTATTAGATGTCAGCTCCAGTAAGAACTTTATGGCACATATTTAATCTTTTGATTTTTCATATGCCTGCATAAACGTATATATTTTAATTTATTAGGTTTGAATAATTCAGAGATACCCGACTTAGTGCCTGGATGGTCTTGGCTTGGTCGAAGAAAAGATACTTGTCCTGAATGGAAAATATGGACTACATTTCTTATATTCTCATTAGGTCCATGGGTTATTTTACATTCATCAATTCTACTAATAATACAACATTATTTTTCAAAGGTAATTTTATTCATAATAATTTATAAAATCTTCCAAAGAATTGATAAATTATAAATATTAATAATTTTATACTTGTTTTATATAGATATCAACAATTCGTGATGTATGGTTTATTACTGTTACAAGTCTATGTATAGCTTATAATTTTGGATTATTATCAGTCTTCTTATTTTTTGGTCTAACTATGATTTATTATTGTTTATTATTATTTGGTAATCAATTTGCTATTTGGATTACAAGCATATTATTGTTAGGAGTTTGGTCATACAATGATTCATTATTTGTAAGTGAGGGACTTAAAAATTGTAAATTATACTATATAATATATATTAATAATTATTGTATGCTTTTAGACGATTTTTGACCCTAGTTCAGATGGAGAGATCGCATATTTATTACTTTTGACATTATACTGGCATCAACTACGCTGTATAAGTTTTTCACTTGGCTCATTGGATAAAGCTAAAAGTAAAACTTTGCCAAATTGTCTACACTTTTTAGCATATTCATTTTACTTACCATGTTTTTTCTTTGGACCAATAATTATTTACAAAAAAATTAATGTAATTTAATTTAAAAATTGATTATTTTAATTCCTTTAATATTTTTCTTTTTTTTACAACAGGATGCAAGTACAAATACTACCATGAAACCATTATATCAACGTTTGAAAAAACTCATAATAAATTTGATTAGATACTTTTTTTGGATGTTTTTTACTGAGTTCATACTACATTATGTTTATATTAATATGTTTTTACAAAATATTAAAGTATGTTTTGTTTATCTGATCATAAAATTACATTTTTAGTTGTAATGATTTAATTATTTTTTTTTTTTTAGGTTTTTAAACATTTTGGAATTACTGCACTTAGTGGGTTTGGTTTTGGAATGGGACAATTTTTTTTCATTAAGTACACATTCATTTATGGTACTGTAATTACAGTTGCAACATTTGATGAATTCATTAAACCTCCAAAGCCACCAAAATGTATTTCACGGATTTATTTATATTCTGATATGTGGAGAAGTTTTGATCGAGGACTTTACAACTTCTTAAAAGAGTAAGTGGAATTATATTTATTTTATAAATTTAGTTTTATATAATATATTAGGTTACATATTATATGGGAGTTTTAAGTCTTAAAACATAATATTATATTTCCATTGCACCCACTGGGATTTTTTAATGAACAAAAAAAATCAGTGTATAATAATGTAAATATGTGACTACCTATGTATGTATAACATACATTTAATATTTCATCACTGAGCTGATTTTCTGCAGGCTTCCCTGAATATTTAAATTATTTATAATTATCTACAATAATGTACTCAATTACGGGTAAATAGTAGGTGTTAAAGGTAATACATAAAACTATATAAAAAAGAATAGTATTTTATTTTTGATATCAGTCAGATGTTACAAATAATATGTTATCAAACTAATATTTTAATGTGGTTTATGTGTCAGACACTTTGTTCATGTGCATAGTGTATTAAACTATTAAAGCATAATTAATAATTATCATAATATACAGATATAATCTTATATTTGAATGAAGAATACACTAAACTATTTATATTTATAAATTATTATGATATTTTAAATACACAATTGATACTTTTATTCATCAAATAAGTATACTTGTTCAAAAACAGAATTTAATCTTCCAATATATGTAATAGGATAATTATAAATTAGTTCATTTTCTAGCATACTATTTTTTATATATCTATGCTTATTTTGACGACATTCATTGACAAACCAATCATAAAAATAGCGTGCTGAATATACTGCTGACCAACTATGAGGGTCATTTCTTTCCCATTCATAAGCGTTTTTTTCCGGATGGAATTGTAATCCCACAAATGGATAATTTTTAGCTTCTACTGTGGATATGAATGTTAAATTATTTTCATCTTTATTTACTGTTATGGGATTCCAAAAGTGATCTAACTTCATAGACGTAAAGTTCTTTTTTGTTACACAGTTACTGTAAAAAAAACAATACCAATTTTTTTTATTAAAATATAAAAACATAAAAATTATTCAATAAATATATTAATAAAACCATGTTTATCATATCATTAAGTCTAGAAATATTTAGTTTGTTTTGCCATCTTCTCTGTAACTGTATACACAAACATGATATTTTATAAACTGCATAAAATATTGAAACCAATTATTGGTAATGTATGTTCGATAAAAGTATATATATATATTATATATAGATTAAAAACTTAATAATATTCATGTCTTGAAAATATTAAATTTAAACACCTTCCCCTAAAATCTGCCCATGTGACTATGATATAGACACTCCTACTGTATTAAGAAGTGATTATACTTCTAAGTGTATCTATAATATTCTAATATTTATATAAAAGTAATTTTAGAATTAATTCATACTCATGATGGTTTGCTGTGACTGGTTCTGTAAGTAATATGTTTCGAATATCCTTTGGCATTGTTTTGAATAACACACTTTTTTCTTCCATTGTTGGTATTAGTTTTAGTGGTAAATTCACGTTGTTAGAATTACAGCGTATCAGAGGATTTTTTCCACCTATGGATGCAATTAAAAGAAGTTCAAATCCTAGACAAATTCCAAGTATTGGAAATCGATCTCTGTCATCATTTATCTGAAAAATAAATTAATGGCTTAAGGTTTTTTGGAATTAATTGAAAAAAAAAGAATTCAAATCCCGATTATTATAAAATTATTGTTTATATTATTTATTTGAAAAAAATAGACAATATTCAGTCCATGAGCAACAAAAGCTTTCAACCATGAACAAAATATGTATTTATCTATTGATCTCCTTAATTCTATTATTTACATGTTTTGCAATGTGAAAAATTTCATTTATTGATTGACTGATTCCAAATGTCATATTAAACGCACTCTTGGGACTCCCTCCTGGGACTAAAATACCATTCACTTTTTTCACTACATCCCTAAAACATATTATAGTTTTTATTGTGTATGTTGTTTGAAATGTAATTTTACTGTAACATACGTGTAATATTCAGTAGTCCTATTGGTAAAAACTGGTACAACTCGACCTCCAGAAGCTTCAATTGCCTTAACATAAGATGCAGCTATATACGAGTTATTAAATGTTATTAAATTTTTAAAAGTAGACCAATAAACTTCTTGTGTTAATATTCCAATCACTGGACGTTCGTTACAATATGTTAGTTTTGTTACAAAACTCAAAATTAAAGTAAAAAAAACTGATAAATACATATTTTTGTTAGTAATTACTCTAAGTACTAAATTAAAATACTAATTGTACAAATAAACGGCAAGTTCAAAATTATTTTAAAACTTGTCTTAATGTGTATTAGTTTAAATGTTGTAGATATGATGGTAACTTATGATCTAGAGTCAAGTCCAAGAACACATTCCATTGATAATTTATTTACTGGCTATTTTATCTTACTTTTTACACCATGTTTCCAATTATAATAGTTTAATCAAACATATTATTAAAACCTTTCAATGTTAAATTAATTACTTGTAATTTAAAATTGCATTAATTTAAGCTATGTATATTAATAAACAATAATATAATTTATAGTAGGTAGGTATGTATTATTCAGAGTTGTAGGTATTACATTAAAAAAATAATATTCCTTTTTTTTTTATTGGGTTGAGATACTATAAGAAATGTGCTAAAATAAAAAACAATATTAATATAGGTACCTTACTTAATTTTATACTTACCTGATGATCACTAATTCAATTTGATATATGCTTCAAGAAAATTCAAAGATTTAGTTTATAAAACAGTTCAGACTGTTTAGAGTAGTGAAACAGTTTTTGGTTGATATACTTAAAAAAAATTGCTAAAAATTATTGATGTAATTGAAACTCATGTAAATGTTTTTAATCAACCCTGTAGATAATAATTGGTTTTATAGAAATATAAAAATATAACTTTTAAATCATCCATTGTTTATTGTAGTAATAATAACATATTATTGTGTAAAATATTATTTATTGTATTAAGTATATACTTATTTTCAATAAATATTATAATACTCTAAAGAACTTGAATTATATATTACTTAAAATTATATCACTATTATGAGTTATGACATTTGGAATAAACAATTAATACTTTTATTCATTAAAAAAGTAAACTTCCTCGAAAACAGAGTTCAATTTTCCCACGTATGTGCTAGGGTAATTGTAAATTAATTCATTTTCCAGCGTACTTTTTTTGATATATCTATGATTATTTTGACGACATTCATTGACAAACCAATCATAAAAATAGCGTGCTGAATATATTGCTGACCAACTATGAGGGTCATCTTTTTCCCATTCATAGGCATTTTTTTCTGGATGAAATTGTAATCCCACAAATGGATAATTTTTGGCTTCGATTGTGGATATGAATGTCAAATTATATTTATCTCTATTTGTTGTTATAGGATTCCAAAATTTATCTAAGTTCATTGATGTAAAGTTTTCTTTCCTCATACATTTACTGAAAAAAATGATAATTGCATACATACAAATATGTTCAATTAAATGTAGATTAAATAATATTCCTGTACAGTTAAATAAATAAAGTAGCAGTGACATGGCCAGATTGGTATGTATCGGCCCACTTTCACTTCTATAAGCAGTCCATTTGCATATTCAGTGGCTTAAAATTAAGTCTATAATTATTACGAGCTTATAGATGGCCAATCGTATTTTAAACATGAATTTATTTTCATTCACACTTACACGACCGTCCCAAACTTCAAGCGGCCTACCGAGATTTTTCTCGGTAGCTCGCCTAACCAATCCAGCCCTGAGCAGTGAGATCTTTTTCAAAATGCCTGGATACCCCATATCCTTAACATATACATACCTAACCAGTTAAAATTATAAATATTTGGAATATTTCTTTTATTGGCCTGTACTCCAATATTCTTGAAATAATACTGATTTGTTTTATGATGAGTAGTGTTCGGAGCCACAATAGACAGTATATGCATAGGGGCAAGTTGATTAAATTTTTTTTGGGGGGGGGACTCAATCCCCCTCCCCATAGGCTATATTGCTTAGTACCACAGAATATAAAAATTAGTACTAATTACTAGATTTTGAACTGGGGGGACTAAGCCCCCCCCAAGCCCCCCTCCTATTTGCTCCAATGAGTATATGCACGCAAACATGCACAAAAGATGTAAGGAAAAATGTGCAAATATTATGCAATAAAATATAAACTATTTGCATAAAAATGAAGAAACAGGCACTTTTTCTAAAATTGACAAAATATGCAAATATGGAACTTGTTTGATTTTTAAGCTCGTTATAGTATAGAATGGCTTTCTATCATGGTTGGTTTGCTATAAATTGGGAGCACATAGAAAAATATTCATCTCCTACACCTTCAGAGTCCTAATATTGAGTGATCTGTTATTATTTTTACATTTATAACAGAAACATTTATAATATAATAATTGATTTTTTAACTTGTTTGAATATGTCTAAATAAAATAATTAATTAATACATACAAATGATGGTTTGCTGTGACTGGTTTTGTAAGTAATATCTTTTGGATATCTTTCGGCATGTTTCTAAATAACACACTTTTTTCTTCCATCCCTGGCACTAGTGTTAAAGGTAAATTTAGATCTTGAGCATTACATTTAGAAAAAGGAAATTTCCCTTTAATAGATGACATTAAAAGAAGTTCAAATCCTAAACAAATTCCGAGAATTGGAAAATGATCATTTACATTGTTTACCTGAAAAACAGACAAAATGTAGTCAATGGACAACGAAATAATTGACTCCGAGCAAATGTATTTGTTTATTTATTTATCAATCAATGTTCTTCTCTTTAATTTTGTTACATATTATATTATTTACAAGTTTTGCAATCTGAAAAATTTCATTTGTTGATTGACTTATTCCAAAACTCATATTAAATGCACATCCTCCCCCAGGTACCAAAATGCCATTAACTTTTCTCACCACATCCCTATAACATTTTATAACTGTTAATTGTGTTACAGAAGAAATGATTATGACCTATATAGTTACACACATATAATATTTAGTAGTCCTGTTGGTGAAAACTGGTACAACTCGTCCTCCAGAAGCTTCAATTGATTTAACATATGATGTAGCTATATACGACTTAACGAATGGTTTTAAATTTTTAAAACCAGACCAATAAACTTCTTGTGTTAGTATTCCAATCACTGGTCTTTCATTACAAATGGTTGCTTTCGTCACAAAACTCAAAATTAAAGTTAGAAAAACTGGAAAATACATATTTCGGTTCTTAACTAATGTAGAACTATGTAGAACTAAATTAAAATACTAATTGTACAAATAAACGGCTAGTTCAAAATTATTTTAAAACTCGTCTTATATGTATTAATTTAAGTTTCGTAGAAATGATGATAATTTATGATCTAGAGTCTAAACCAAGAACACTTTCTATTGATGATTTATTTACTGGCTATTTTATCTTATGTTTAGACTAAATTTAAATATTAATCATACCTACTTAATCTATCCTACATAAATTACCAGCACTTACCAAAGTAGAATGAATATTTGTTTACTGTACTTATATTAACTTATTAAGCTTAAAAATTATAGTTTGTATATAACATTGAAGTATGTAATTGATTGGTCGAATAAACATATTTGTATGTTATCTTCTATACATTTTCTCACTGTCTCATGCGTAATAAGTATGTAGATTATCTTTAATAGTGTTTGGAAAATGTTTTTGAGTTACAAAGTTCAACAACTAGGTATATTACTAATTAGATAAAACAATATTGTCTGACTCAAGAGCATAGACTATCCACCTAACCTAATCTATGTCGTTGCTACTTTTTAATTATTAAAATCAACTTAATATTCAGTAGTTTTGATCTGCAAGACATTATTATGAGATATTTAGAAAAAAGGTTACCAAACTCACTGGACAATTTTATTTTAGTTAATTTTACTAAATGAAACTTGCTCTATGAATTGGTTTTTAAATGATGAATGTTTTTATTATCTCTGGATGACAACTGGAAACTTTTTGATGTAATTACTAAAAATAATAAAAATGTTTATGTGGTATTTGTTTATACATTTACAATGGAACACAAATATCCCTTTAACTTTACAATAAAACTATTTTAGAATAAAGTAGAATAGATAGTAGATTGATTTTAATTTATACAAGTAGACAAGATATTTATAATATAATATAATTTATTATGTATGCAAGCATAAAAATATAGAAAGAAACAATAAATATGTATACTATATTCTCTCCTGTTTATATTTAATTGTTATTTTTCAGGTACATTTATAGACCATCTGGATATCATCCTGAAAATGTTAGAGTTGGTACTAAATTAACTAGATCATTTATGTGTTTTGCATTTATTTTCATTTGGCATGGATTATCATGGGAAGTTTTCTTATGGACTCTATTCAACTTCATTGGCATCACAGTGGAAACCCTAGCAAAGATTTTTGGAAAAACTTCTTATTATCTCCACTATGTTAAAGTAATTAATATTGTTAATTTGAAGGTCTTAAGTATAAAACTAGTCCCCTCTAGTTTATGTAGTATTTTAAAATATATTAGGCGGTGAATATTATCTTGATTTTACATGATTTTAATTAACTTATTTTTATTGATTCTATTATCAAACAACAATATTAATATCAATATTTAGACGTTAAATGTACATTGTAGTAAGTTTGAATGAAGAGTGAACACTATATTAACTAATTTAATACTGTTTTCCACATAGCAAACAGCATAAACTACAGGATCAATAAACACTATTTCTAGTTATAACTTAAATATACTTTAACACGTTCACTGCGTATCATATTTTTGTATACTTGTCGTGACGCTGATAAAATTCTAGTTTTAAAAAAAAATTTCCTAAAAATTGAAAAATTAAAATATCAGTTTATAGTTTGCACTTGATTATGAAACAATGCTTATAGAAGACGCTGACAAAAAACCAAAAGTTTAATCGTAACGCTGACCAAATTATAGTCCATTAAATAACAAGATACATGACGCCAATTGGCGTCATTCAGCACATGCGAACTATGTACAATGACTCCAATTGGCGTCTTACGCAGCAAACGTGTTAAAATAACATTATTTATTAATATATAGATCTGTCAATTGTTTATAATTATTGTGTATTATATGATTATAGTGCAATCTAAGTGACCCTAATGAAAGGCGGTTTTTAGCACTTATAACCAGTCCTTTAACAATGCTATCGGCCATTTCAAACTTTTTCTTTTTTGGTGGTATTGAAGCTGGTTTGAGTTATTTTGAAGCAATATTTTTACTAAGTGAGTAATTTTTACCATCAACAATTTTACAATATTACATTGTTTCATTAAAAATTTTTTTTTAGATACATGGATTGAAAACATCATTATTATCGTAATATTTTATTCAATGTGTCAAATATCTATAGAATTCAACCATTATAAAAAATCAAAAAAACAATAAATTATATATATTATATATTATCTCTTAAATAAGGTACATATTTTATTCAATTAACACAAAGTATTAAATTTAAAATAAATATTAATTGGTACAATTTATATACTAAATGTACTGTATTATAGTTCCTATATTTGATATTGTATTACTTTAAAATTTAAATGCAATGATTTAATAATTAGTCTTTAGCCTACGTATGTATAATAAACAAATTAACTATAAACACTAAGTATTAGAAATAAAAATCTAACTTATTAAGTATTATAATTTTATTACTAAATAGTAAATACAATAATGATTAACATGTATCCTATTATAAATACAGATTCAAATTTCAAATACGCTCGAAACAATTACGTATTAAAAAAAAAAAAAAAATGTTTAGTTATAGTAACTTTATGAATGTATTTGTAATTTCCTGTAAGTATCTATCTACAAATTAATTGTAAAGCTTTTTTATGAATTGCACCATTAGATACCTATGGTATAATATATTAACAACCTTATTGTTATCAATTCATACCTACAAATGTATTTCAATAACAAAAATTGTAAAGTATTGATATTAAAACATATTACTGATGTGGACTGCTATTTTATATTTTGTAACATAGTATGTATTATTTCTTAGTGTATTTATCCTCTCTATTAAGTGCTATTTAGTTTATTTCAAACTCAAGTGTTTACATACATTTTGTAGAAGACTAAAAATATTTTTCTAATCTTTTTTCAAGAGAATATGAATGTGTAAAATGTAAATAACAAAAGTCTATATCATAATATATTATGTTATGTACATTGGTTTTACGGATTGAAGCAGATTGAGAAAAGAACAAGTACAGTGAATCATATGCTGGAAGTTGTCTTATTTTTTCAGTGTTGCGAGTTTGATAGAAAATTTTGTATTTTATTAAGCTAGTTGTAATCGCTTAAAAACATAAATGAATGGGTAGGTATAGCGTAATTAAATTAAATTCAAAATATTTAATAAACATTGCGAATGACATTTTTATTTTTTATTTTTTCTTGTCAATAGTTAGTTAGATAACATCTCAGTTTGTATATTTAAGACATTAAGACATTCATTACCTCGAGTTTAAAAAAATACCAAGTAACAAAAATTACATTAAAATGGTTTACCTACTCAAATCATTTGTAATGTATAATATTACAAATAATACGTTTTTTTTCTACATTAAGATATTATTTTGTAAGTAATTGATTTGATAACAAATTCTTAAAGGTTACATACCTAAAGAAGTTTTACACAAGAAGTGGTTGAAATTTGAAAGTCAATTATTATCAAGGCCCCTGCAAATGTGTAATTTTTAAGGAGTTGTGTTTAGGCAATTACTTCGTTCCTGCGATTACTGATCGTCTTTGAGTGTGTAGTAAATGATCATTAGTGTGTGTATACTCCCCTACCATCACCTGGGAGTTGGGACCCGCATCAATTTACAATACATTGTTATTTCTTATCTGGTTTATGGTCGCACGCACGCACATGCACATGTAATTAATGTCTAGATCAAAATATTCAAAACCAATTAAGAACGTGAAATAGCCGTAGCACTGACAACAATTAAGGTACTTCTAGTGGTTCGATTTAAAAAATGTAAAAATGTTTGTGTTGGTAAACAAGTTTACTTTGCATCGGTCGGAGCACTTTTTCAATTTTGACAAATTCTTGACGAGGATAAGTATTTTACATTTTATAAATTTATACATTTTTAGTATTGAATTTATTCAAAAATATCTAAAATATAAAAAATATGCTCCGACCAATGCAAAGTAGACCTGTTGACTAATTAAAAGATCTTTACATTTTTTAAATCGAACCACTAGAAGTACTTTAATTTTTGTCAGTCGCTAAGGTCGTTTGGATGAAAAATTAATAGTGAATGTCCATCTCAAAATTACGCTGTGTTATCACATGTAATTCAGTATGAATCAACAGGTAGAAACTATTTAAGTGCCCACTTAAAGATCTACTTTTATATTTCTTAATAAATTTAGATTCAGTTCAGTATACATAAATAGTAAAACTAAAAGGAATATCATATTATTAAACATTTATAGATAATCCGAGGTTTGAAATACGAAAACCTCTGTATTATTATAATTATGTATATTCAGAGCCACCCTGTTAAACGATCGATACCTATTATAATAATTATATGATTCATAATATAATTGTACAGTGACCATTCTTAAATCGCTCTAACTATAATTCTATACACTGATTATATGTACAGTTATTTGATTGATCAACTTTACTTAATAAGTAATACAATATTACAACTCATTCACTATTCAGTATCTCCTTGAATGACAATGTATGTCTCCTCTGTGGTAAGGTGGCGGCGGAGGTGGAGTTGGGGGAAACCCTCCTCTGTCTTGAGATCCTAATGATTGCCTATCTACCTCAATAATATCCTCGTTGTCTTTCTGGAGGGCCGCAAAACACATGTCTCTATTGGCGCAACAACTTTCCTGATGTCCAACATTGCAAGACGACGATATCACGCTAGAGTTATATTTTTTACGGCGAAAAATCTAAAAGAAAAAAGGATTAAAATTAATATATTATGAAAACAACTCATATCATTGACATTCGTTACTTTGGTTTTGATAATGCTACGGCTGATACGTCTAAACTTTCGGTTCAAAGCCCAATATATAAACGGATTCCAAAAGCTATTGCTTAATGCTATCCACGTGATTATAAAATCTACAGCCGGTGGCATCTGTATTTACGGTAAATGCGCAATATCAAATACATCGTCTTGGTTTATTCCACAATATTTATTTATTTTATATTTACCAAAAAAAAGTTTTAAAAATAGGTACGTACTTTTGTGCCTGTACACGCAGTGACGACTTCTTGAATTGTCCAAGGAGTTACGGCTACAATAAAACCTAATGCTACTGCTCCCATAGCCCTGGTAGTTCGAATGCTTTGTCTCAGTTCTTTCGATGCTAATCGATCGGATGCTTCATTGAGAGTGGTCTAAATGAAATTAATTTTCTCCAGCTAATTATTTAATTTCTATAGAATCTACAGTGTAGATGTTATAAGCCTATAACCTAAGGGAAATCATGCTCAACTATATAACATTTTAATCTATATTACGACTTGCGCATTAAGTTATTTTTTACCGATGGATGTTCTATAGTATATGTTCTATGTTTTATAGTCATCTATATTTTTGTTTAAGATTTCTTCGTATTTAAATATCGTTAACACTTTTTCCGCACCACTCTGAGTAATCAACGGCTGAATTAATTTTTAGACAAATAGTGTTTAAACGTTTAAGATTGCATTCATAGAAATAAAGTCCAATCTAATTTTTAGTGCCTACCTAGGATTTTTACTAAAAGTTTTCTACTACGACACAAATTAAATATAGATACCTACCTAACCAGTATTATAGGTTACCTGATATAATTTATAATTTTCACAAATCTATTTCGAATCCGTGGGTATAAACAACGCCAATGACGTTAAAGAATTATATATGACTTTCTAGTTTCTGTCTAGGAAAAACGGGTTTGAGTTACAGTAATTTCCGAGGAAGTTGGGCACCGTATATATGTTATATGTACCTACTATGGCAGACTATTTTACGTTATCATTATATATTAAATGTTTTTACTATATATTTTATAAACTTAACTCGAGCTTTGTTTAAAAAATATAATATTATTATTTAACTTTATCAGTCTATAAGCTGTCTAAAATTATTTGCCCTACACTTTTCGTTAAACATCGCACGTTCTAACAACTGTTGGACCTAACAATATCCTAACCAAATATACCGACCGTTCGTGGTCGGTGAAAACAACACCAAATATATCGTGTCTGATCTTGTAAGATGTCCGATTTTGTCGGAGTATAACTCGCACATATTTAAAACTCGATATTAAACATTAACACTACATTATTATACAAATTTCGTACAAACTGCGTCTTTATAATAATATAATAATATAATAAGTATATACCTTTCCAGCATTATTGGGCAACATCGGTTGCACTAGAACGGCGCATATGTTGATTTGTTGCCTGTGCCGGAGCCTGTCCACGTGCAATGCTGACCCGTAGAAATACATGAGTGCCATTGTCGTGGGGAAGTAAAACAGGCAGGCGGCCAATATTCTCAAACTCGGCCTTTGGTAAAATGGCTCGCACGCCATTAGTCCATTGCCGTTATAGAAATATCCACCTCGGCGGATCACAGCCGCGCCGAAGGCGGTTAACGAACCCACTAGAGTCAAACTCAACACCAACATGCAGCCCTGTAAGAACAAAAGTCAAACTATATATTGGCAAATGGCAATAATAGTGTCGACATGTGAATGTTTCAATTGCATCATACGATATTACAATGTACAATATATTAAATGCAAACTTACCAGCTACCTAATTGTTAATCAAAAGCGATATGTATGTACTAAATATTAAAACAATAGGTAGATTATTAATTATCCCGGTGAAAACATTGAGTCGAAAGAACATTGAATTCTTATTATTGTCCATAACACGCGGAGGTGAAAATAATAATAATTGTTCTTTAGATTTTTTATAATAATAGGTACTTTTTATAAATGTGGTTATAAATGCCAATCTAAGGTCTAAACTATACTTAATAAACTAAAAAATAGAAATGTACTTCGGTCGTTGCCATGTGGGAGAATTCAAATATTTTTTCAGAATCGTTAAATTTCAGAAAATCATAGTTGTTACCTACCTAAGTGTAGTCACGACTGACGTTGAAGTAGGTATTATTGGAATATATATATTCGAGGTTTAGAGTGAAGAATAAAATATTTTATTTTTATCACAATTAGATTGATGACACAATTGTGTATGTGAGAGCGTAAAATGTAGTACGTTTATTAGTTAGATACTACAACTGCGGTATAAGCATTAAGCATCCTAATGATAATTTATGAATATTACGATTTACGGCGTAAAAGTAGGTACTATATCTATCATAACGACATGGACGGCTGTAGAAAACCATGATAGAACTTGCTCATACAATGTTCCTCCATGAATCTATAAAAGACTGAAGTCACAATGGATAACTTCCTTTTGTGGATTTTTCTCTCAAGTTCAACACACACGAAACAATATGGCTACTATAAGCAGTTATTCTAATATATTTTATTGTTCACTATACCTACTTGGTTTTAACCATATAGCTGGCTCTTTTATCATCAAATTGCACAATACTACCTCTTGGCGTACCTACCTAATAGCACCTATCAGCAATTCGCACCTTTTTTATTTTAAAACTCATTTTTTCTAATTTCAGGACCGGAACTTGATGTTGACTGGCCCGTTCTTAAACCTGAGTAGTGACTAGAAAGAGATTGCATCTCTAAAGTTTAAAGTTCAATTTCAAATTTATAGAAGGGGTATTTTTAAAAAGGTTACTAAAATAAAGTTAAAAAAAAACCAATTGCTCTCTCGTTTCAATGAGAATCATAAGTACCTACCTATACCGTTTAAGCGTTATAGAAAACAAAAATTAAAATAAATGATTTATTGGCTTTTGTTTAATTTCTCTTTTTCTACATTTTTTAGAATTTGTTTTAAAATTAACTATAGGAACAAAAAAGTAACAAATCTAGTAACAAAAAAAAATGTTTAGTTACCTATACTTAGCCCGAGTAAGGAACTACTACTTACCTACCTACCCATCTACATTGTGAAATTGTTATTTTGAAGTTTGAAATATGTTAATAAGTTGGTGATTTTGTAATGTTTGTATCGATTACGACTTATGTTGTCTCAACTCTCAAGTCTGTTCATTTGTTGTCTGAACTCTGTTAGCTAGATTAGGTAATTAAAATATAATTTATAATGTTTATTCTTTTATTTCTCAAAAAAAACCATGTTGAAGGACTTAAAAATAATATAATTTATTTTTTTTAACATAAAGTTTACCATTTATGAACTGTACAAATTCAATTAATTTGAATATACATTATTTATTTGATTACTTCTATAAAAAAACCAAGGTGAAAAATATAATTTTTTTTTGCAATTTATTTCCGGAACGTATTACGAGAGAGTTTACGTAACGTCCAAATTTGAATCGATCTAGTAATTACCTACCATACACATTATTGTAAATTCCAGAGAAAACTAATATAAATTATAATATATCTGGAAAATGATTGTAAATATGGAGATGTTTCCAAATAAACATTTAATTTAAGAATCTTAAAGAAGATTAAATACCATTACTTTTAAACGTTTCGAAAAATAATACTTACTAATAATATTACTAAATTAACATTTAATAACATGCTATAAATAAAATTATCATACCTATAGGCTATAATGGTAGCTATTTATTTAAAATATGTCTATATTATAATAATATATTTTACATAACATACGTTTACTAATATTTTTCACAATAAGATTGATGAAGTTTTAAACATTACTAAACGTTTCAGTATTTAGTTTGAATTTTACCAATTGTATTTCTTTTAAATTTGAGGTTATCTATGAGATAGTTATTGACAATTCACATTGTCACACTCATTGTACATTGAATATACAAAGAAAAATATTAATATCTAAAGGCAAGGAAATATTTGAAGTACTCGTGGTAATGGTAATATAGTTGTATGTATAGATAATTAATTAAAGGAAATGTTTGTGTATGCCGTCAACAGTCGAATTTATCGCACTCAGGGTTCTGAAATTTGGTATATGAGTAATCTTATATTCAAGGGTATGCACCCAAAAGCCAAATTTTATTTGGTCAAAACCATCAAATAACAAATATTTTAAAAATATGTGTAGGTAGGTAGGTCAATATTTAACGGAGCTTAAGACACAGTCACGGCAAATCCACTGGCATTATTTAATTTGTCACGGCCTACAGACAACGCCGCGAAGGATCAGCTATAAATTATAATTAATAATTAATATAATATAATATAGCTATCTATACTATATAAAATCAAAAGTTTAAATGGATAACCCTTATGAAAATCCACAGTTTTTGACCGATTTTCATAAAATGTTCGCCAATCGATTCAGGAAGATCCGTAGTGTCACAGTCTATACGTTTTATTACTTTTATTTTTTATTCCAGCACATAAAATATGTTGAATATAGTTGACTAAAAAAAAAACTATAATTTTTTATTTATATATTGTTGCCATTGGTTACCGAAAATAAAATAGTTATTATGATTGGATATAATTTTAGACCTGTATTTTATATTTGGCCAAACCAACTCAAATAACTGTGTTTAAAATCGGTGCAGTTTACATTTGATGAGTTTAAGGAGGGGTAAATCCATGCTCATTTAATTTGTCCAACGCCGTGCAGGAAATATTAAAGGTTTTTAATTTTTCGCTCAGATTTTTAACTGTTTTTCGAATCATTTTTAAAACAAATCTTTGTAAAAAACAAATGTATTAGATATCCGACCGCTTTTGTCATTTATCCTCAACACGAGACTGAATATTGAATTGAATTAGACGAAATGTTGCCTTCTCATTTTGTTCAACTTGCATAATATATATAGGTACGCGTTACGTTATAATATTATATGCGCTGTAAAATATAATAATATAATAGATAAGTCTCTTCAGACTCTTCTAATGGTCTAACAAAATATTGTCATTTATGTATTCTAATTAATTATTATAAGGGGGACGAGGTGGCCGAGCGGTCTAACGCGTCGTCTGCGGCGCTGGCAGTCGCGGGTTCGACTCCCGGCCACTGGGCGGCATTTTTCTCCGGGCAAGTCACGGTGTCCGGAAAACAAGTGCCGCCATCCCCCACTCCGGGGCATGGCAGAAACCTACTGGTGCCCCATTCAAAATTCTGCCAAAATACACCCACGTGTAACACCCCCTACCGTTAAATAACCTACAGTACCAACCCCTCTCCCAATGGCCTAAGTTGCCGCGGGATAAAATTAATAAAAAAAAAAAAAAAATAATTATTATAAAAACTATATTTTTGATTTCATTGTTTTATAAAATACTCGATCAGTAGTCGTACACAAATTAACATTTATTTGTTTATTACATGCAGAGAACTTTACTGATAGGTATACTAATAAAACGGAAAATTGATTTAATCTCGTTTCACAAAATAATATTATTATTGTCACACATTATCTATTGACTTTTTGGGGGGTTCATGTTAGTTCTACGAAGGCATTCCTAGATAACTTAGCTATATAATACAATATATATAAAAACATATTAACTAATTCTTTATTCTAGATTTAAAAAATATTGTGTGCCTACTTAATTAGGTATATTAATTAATAATTATAAGAATATTAAAGAGGAATACATATTTTAATGGTGTATGCTTCATTAAATCACAAGGTACCCGTAACCCGTTCAGTAATTATTACATAGCTAGGTACCTATATACTCTATTATATACATAATAATATAATATACTACTTACATATATATTTTCTACTTTAAAAACAATTATTTTTAGCAACTGATTACAATATTTTTGCCAAATGTATTTTGATCTTATAACTTATTACATATATGTATGTTGTATCCTTCGAACTTTTATACATAATATACACAATTACATAATACCTATACCTACATATTATATTATTAATTATACCTACCTATTGTATTTCTACAATCACTATTTTATTATCATATTAATCTATCATCACAACTGTCATTTAAATTTTCTATAATATTATATCTTAATTATTGTTTTAATTAAATAGGTACATAATACTAATAATAATTTATAGTTACCTATATAGTTTAATTGTTTTATAACGCTGGATAGCTTTTACCCGTTGGCTTGGAAGTGACCAACCTTATGGTTTAATTGTAATTGTAATTTTTTTTTTTTTTTTACCTAATTAAATAAATATAATATACCAAAGCAATATAGGACGAGTCATATTATGATATTATAAATTATTTATCACGTATGGGGAATTAATGAACTATATTATGTTTGTTATATGATATAATAAAGGTGTATCTACGTATTTCTAAATACTAGAACATTTTTTGGTTGTATGAATTTTCTATAATTCCGGTCTCATATTCCTGAATCACATAAAGAATGTTTTTTATTTATTTTTTATCATTATCTGTTCGCACTTCGCAGTCTCATATATAAGTAACATTGCGAAAACACATCACGTAGACCGATCATAAATTATTAGAAAACGATTTTAGAGCTAAAATACCAGTAGATACAAAACAATAAATAATAAATAATACTTTGAGTCTGAACATATTATATTATGTTTTTTCTTCTCTATGTTTAGGTATTCATAAAAATGTTAAAACATTTTTTTAAAAAACGAAATGCTATTGAACATATTTTTTTCTAATTTTATGTTCTGTGTTGTAATAATTGTAATATATTTAGTTAAGTACAAAGATATTATATTATGTATACCTAATACATTTTAATTAAAATATTAAGATAACATATTATAGTAGTGAGTTTTGATAGTGTATGGAAATAGATGCATTTGCTTCTCTATCAGCGTTTTTCAGGGAGGCTATTATATTATATACTGCAAGTATCATAACATGGTTAAAATGTACACGAAACAGTGAACACGTTCTATGGATGCTATAATGATAGCTGCACTGACTATGGTCCGACCTTTCAATTAAGTTTAATGCTGAGAATGATACCTTTTCCTAATATTGTTGTCACTACCATCATACGCTTAGGCCGATGAGAATTTTCAATTGAAACTTTATAAATGGTAATTTCCTTTACTCAAAGTGCACAGATAGGAATTCAAGAATCTAACACAAACCACTAAACTATTTCTTAGGTCGAAATGGAAAATGTATTAGTCATAAGTTATAACTCAGCTATTTGAGTATTTCATCAAGACATTTTCAGGAACAACTTGCAATATAGTATATACATAGGATGTAAATCGGAAATAGAAATTCAAATGACGTCGGAGGAAATTACACCCGATATTGCTATATATACAGCTAATATATAGTAGCAGGAACAAATAAAACTGCAGTTAAAAGTATGTAAAATTTATTTTCTTAGTTCAAAATAGACTTTCTAAACATAACTGGTGATAATTGATTAACAGTAACAGAATAATATTATACCATTATGTAAATTTATTGAGAAAGGATTATATTTTGAAGCATATACATTTTTTTTTTACATGATGTCAGTATTGAAGAATTTTTCTGAGTAAATTATAATATACGAATGTACCTACCTATAGTAAGATTAACTAAATTTAGTTTTTATTGATTGACAAGATATTATTATGTTACAATTGGTCGGCTGTGAAGAATTTTATAACTAATATAGTAATATGAAATAATTTAATATTAACAACGACAATAATACAATTTAAGAACGTAAAAACATAACCATTTAAAATAATATATTATATATATTTTAGTATAAAATAGGTATATAGATTATGTTGATCGGGAGAATGGAAAAAGGTCAAAAGAAATAACGACCGTGTAAACAAGCACAAATAATGTTGCATAATATATTAATATTTTATACTTTAGTTAGTTCCGACGCAAATGATAAATACTTTGAATTTTCATTCTATACTCAATTTTCGTTCACACGAATAAACATTAAATATCTGTGTATTCATAAGTTTATGAACCATTTTCTTTGAGTTTTATTGTTATTCATCATAAGATTTATAAATATTAGTTTGAATACTTGTATAGAGGTACCTATATCGAAAATATGAGGGACTGAATATAAATGTATCTATTGCATCTTTTACGGATTGTAAATGGAAATTATTCATAGTTTTTAAATAAAATAGAGCGTACTTCAATTTTATTACACGATTTTATTTGTTTGATATCATCTGTTATGCTTATGCTTTAATTTTGAATAACCTGTAAATGAATCGATATATATGGCTGGAATACCCATTTAAATAATTTATAATCATGCCCGATTGTGGTAATTTTATATAAATTCTAGTTCCGAAAAAGTACGCTGATAATAATATAATATGGATTTTCGATAAATCATTTCTTTCCTACTTAGGTACACGTTTTAGGTTCTGGCCGGAGATAAAAAGAATTTTGTTTTGAAATTCGATGTTTTTACTTACGATAAAGCAGTGATGGGTCTTTAGTAAATAATAAATATATTAAAGTTTACCTGTTTATAATTTAAAATGCTTTTAAAATATGTATTGTTTATGCAAGAAACAAGGTTTACAATGAATATACGTGTACCGTGTATTAAATTGCATATAATATAATTACATTCGCAATTCGCTTGAAGTGTATACGCTTGTCACTTTTAAATACAGTACTCACCAGTCACTCGCCATTTACACAGAAAAAACAGTTTCGCTCATAAAACAATCCAGAAAGATATATTGTCGTGGGTACAAACATTGAAAGATAATAATAATATAATTAATATACCTAACTACTAAAGAGCGAAGACACCAAATGTCCATTAGAAACGGAAGAACATTTTATCCGTACATATCAGAACCTTTATTTTTTCTTTTAATCTTATAATATTCTTAGTTATTTTTGAATTCACACAGTTTAAGCACTTAAACTGTAAACATTCGATTGTTTTTACTATAGTATATATACATAATGCATATATAGTATGTACAACGAAATTTATATTTTATTACATTTTTTTTACAGATTTTTTGAGAAGAACGAAGACCCCGCCTTACAGATGATAATTTATTAGGGATACCCAATTATTATCGTATAACACACTAACAATGAACGAAATAATTTTGAGAGTTCAAAGTCCATCCACATTGCCACGCCTGTGAGTAACTGTGAATATCTGTGATTTAAAAATTATGTGTAGCTTTAAATTAATATTATAAGTACCTAGGTATATTATAGATGGTTCCTAGTGTTCCTCCTACTTTAGAGATAGTTTTCGAAACATGAATAGTTAATTATATAATTTTTGTAGAAAAAGATTTTATTAATAAAAAAACGGATAAGTAATTCAGTTTTCAAAACAAAATTCTGAAAGATGCTGTTAGTTTAGGTGTATGTATAATAATATTGTATAGGTGTATTACTATATTATAATAGTGATGAGAATTTCAGCATAAAAAATTATGGTAATTTTTTTTTAAGGTACAAGTTTGTTCGTACATATTATAATGTAAATACATAACGCTATAACAGTGTAGTGTATTATATTTATAAAAATTCAAAGCGTTAGAGTAGGGAATATTAACACGCGTACTGTTCCAATATTATCTTAGTTTATCTAAGACGTACTAGTGAACCAAATAATATATAAATAATGATATTATGCGCATGAAAACAATTTATTGTAACGAGGGGTGAATCGATTTTTTAAACAGTAAAAAAAATGACAGACTAAGAAATCACCGGTAAAATTTAACGAGCTCCCATCTTTATATAGAACAACTATTAACTACCAGGCTTATTATTTTTGTATGATTTAACAATAATATTTACTAATATATTTTTAAAATATAAGATTAAGTGCCTAATAGCCATTAAAAAAGTAACTTTTATATTTGATCGTTGTTGAACACAACTTAAGAAGGTATCTATTGCGGGAACTTATATACTCAATATATACCTAGGTATATGCATATATAATTATTATTGTGAGTAGGTATATCTACTCACAATAATAATTATGGAACATTCATAGTAGGTATTATCTCGATGTAATGTTACACTACCTATTAGAAAGGCTCTATTATTGCATTTAACCAGTATATTATTTTTATAATGTACTTTAAATAAATCTTAGCTGTGGTTAAATTTTAAATCTTTATAACATTTTGTTAAAATTACCTTTATCAAATACCATAAACAGCATCAAATATCTATATTTACAATATTTTCCGCCTATTTGATGATAAATAATTCATAACTTACTTTTTTACTCGAATGTTTGTGATATTTATCTGGGTGCAGCATACAAGTGTATCTGTCGACTGCCATGAACACTAATATCATAGCATTCTGTTGCGGCAATGCTGCCCTTAAAAGAGCCTGAAAAATTAAAATAAAATAAAATAATAATTTTTGTTTAATTTGTGAAGTAACGTGAATAATTTATTTCTCGATAATATAGGTCATCATCGACTACAAAAATATGGTGCTAAAATAAAAAATCAGATATTTATATAATATTTTATAAGTAGTACAAAAAAGATTATTTTTCCAAGAACGCACGTTCTCCGGAACAGTATTACATCGCATGTTTTTAAAACATACCTACCAGTGAAGGGTTAATATTTTAGTTTTAATAGTTTATAAGGGTACCTATACTTTATTTTTTTATTATTTACACCTTTTTTAAGTGCTTATATTGGCAATTTTAAAATAATGTTTCATCATACACGTGTAGATATTTAACAACACAATATTCTTTATATTTTACATTTAATAATACGTATATATACCTACGTAATAAATACCACAGTGTCGTTGATTACTATTTTTAGTTAACAACTCTGTCAAAATATTTGAATTTTCAAGTATCTAGTTATGCATTGAATTATCTCGTTGAAATAAATTTGAGTAGAATTATTATTATGTCATACTTGATTAAAAACTATACAGACTTTCACTCAATAGGTAGTGCATTTAATTTAAAATAAAAATAATGAATATAACTATACTTAAAAAATGCTCATTATAGTACAACTTATAATAATACAAGATTGGTGAGTAGGTACATCAAAAAAAATTTTAATTAAAAATAAATAAGGGTGTATTGTAAAAAATTGGGAAATTGGGAAGGACATGCTTATAATTTTTAAAACGAATTAAAATGTTTTTGTACTAATACAAATAAACATTAAACACTATTTACTAAGTTTTAAGTTTCTATATTTTCATATAATAGATTTAAAGATAGCAATATACATTTTTATGCTCAATACTTGACTAGATTTAAGATGCAGATAAAATACGAAAAAAAATAGTTTACCAATTAATGTTTAAACCCTGATGACTTCTACTTAATAATCTAGTCATAAAATGTTTATTATGCATTTTTTTTAATTTGTATAGGTTTAATGATTGATTATGAAACATTTTTAATAAAATTCATGTAATATACTGCCAGTATCTGACTATTTTAAGTATGTATGTAATTTTTAGCGTTTTAATTAATATCAAAATTAGTCATTAAATAATGAAGTTGTTTGTCTTGATGTTTATTATCAATTAAGAAATATGTATGCTTGACAAGGTGGTTAACTTAGTTCATACGTTTAAAAGTTTAATAATATATTTTGGCTTTTACGATACTTATTACTTATACAATACCGTAGTGTAACAACTTTTAGATACGACCCAACTTTGGGCGGATTATATGAGTCTTCGTTAAACCGAATTACCTCTCATTTTATGATTTTATTATACAAACATTGTCAAATTATGTTCAAAAAATAATACATCGTCTTTAAATTGCCTGAAATAAGCACGGCGTGGAACGAGTGCGTAATTTATTATTTATCATGTTGTTATTACCTATATAGTAATGTTATATTTCGAGATGAGTTTTAAAAATTGTATTTTTGAAGATTGGATTTATAGGTACGGCTTATACGCATAAGCGACGGCTCGTCAAAATGATACATTAGAAAACGGTTTATATAAATTACATGTATATATGAATTCACGTCTATATATATTTTACAATATTTATATATACATATAGGGGTATATAGGTGCCTACGCGCAAATAATATGATGGAAGTCCGCGCGAGTATATGTATACCTAGATAGTAGATATATACGACGCTGCGCAGGACTGGACGCGGCGGCGGCGGCACAGTCTCGATGAATCATGTCAAAGCCGTGAATACTCAAAAGCAATCTACTCCCCGACCGGTGTTGAATTTTAAAAGGACGGCCTACAAGAGTGATTACCCGATTAACTGCTAAACGGAACACGCGAGGCGCCGAAATAACGCGGCGGATAAGGTTAGGCGAATAGAAATAAAAAGAAAACAGTTTCTTTTTTAAACTTTCCGGAGAATCAATTGTACATTGTATTATTATCGTTAGTGTTAGTTTCGTCCGGGCAACGCGCTGCGAATGTTAAACAGCTATTGTTCGGACATGTATTTCTCACGTCGTCGTCGTCGTCGTCGTCACCGTCACCGGTGCGCACCGCTCGCACGTATCGGCCAGGTCTGCACGTGCGCGTGGTTTTCCATTCCGATCACGGTCCGCCTGGTAAATTGATAGACTTAAGTATCCATCTCTATAATAAGTATAATGCTTTGTGTGTAGGTCCCGCCGACGACGTAACTACCTATCTGTACACCTGCTAGTGTTTGGTGGAAATCTGTTGAATTTGAAAACATTAACACCCATCTCGACGAGATCGGTGGAGCAACTATAGAGTTCACATCTCGAGGGTGCTACAGCAATTATTGTGAATCGCTTTCGTAGTCCCGACATCATACACATTGCCGATGTTTAGTTTATGATATTATTAAAATTATGTTATTCACGATGCTATTATTAGAAGAAAAAAAATTAAACAAATTTTATTTTTAATTATTGTATTTTATAATATTCTATAGCAGGGATGGGGCAACTGGCGGCCCGAGTACCATTTTTCACTGGCCCATGCTACATTTAAATTTAATTTATAAAAATATTAAATATTAAGATTTTTCTGTATTTTATCTTATTATATTTATAAAATTATTAAAATCGATATAATATTTATCGTAAAATGTAGATATAAATTTTTATCTAGTATTCAACTATTAAATGTAAATAATATCTGATATTTATAGGGTATACCTAGTTAACATAAGGTTTTTTTTTTGCTTTCCATGTTCTCTGAACCACTAGATTTTTGCATATTCAAAATTGGCCCTCTATTGTTTTATAGTGTTAAACAACATTGTCTATCCGTAGTAGTAAATGTGTTCAGTATTTTTTTTGGAACAATTTTATGTGCTAGATCTCTCTCAATATTCATAAACACTTGAGTAAAGTTAGCAATTTAGTAGCTGCTATGCCATACTGCATTTTTTTAACCTTCTCATAATTATTATTATAGGAAATACTTCACTTGCATGTTGCAGAACTAACAGAGATAAATTTAGTCGATGCAACCTGCATTAATTTATACAAGTGAGGAAATTCTTCTTTTCTTATAATTTTTTTTATGTTATCTGCATTGCTAGGGTTCCGTACGGTAAAACGGAAGCCTAAGGCTCCGCTATCCGTCCGTCCGTCCGTCTGTCGCCAGGCTGTATCTCATGAACCATGTAAGTTAGAAAGTTGAAACTTTCACAGATTATGTATTTCTGTAGCTGCTATAACAACAAATACTAAAAATCCTAAAATATGTAATATAAGCAGTGTTGCCAACATGTTTATAGATGATGGTACGGGACCCTTCGTGCGCGAGTCCGACTCGTACTTTGCCGGTTTTTTTTTTAAGAATTTTTTCCTACAAGCATTTTTACTTTAAAATACTCCATGTTAGAATTGTTCTCAAATCATAGAATATAATATTATAGCATTTTTCTAAAATTTCAAATTGTAAAAGGTATTAACGTGAAATAAATTAACTGATAATTAATTCTTAAGAAATAAAATAACATCGTTAAAACTGTAGTCTATAGACATTTTAATTTAAAACCACATTCACCCCTTGGTCCTTAGCATCCCCATATAGTTGTACCACTGTGTCTGATACCTACGCATGGCTACATATTATCATGTCTTCTGCGAATATACCTACATGGCTACACTTATGACTACACTTATAACTTATAGTTGTGGTAACTGGTAGGTAAGTATATATATGTTGCAATAGCAATGATGATTGATGACAATTCAAGAAATAACTACATTTTCTGGGAAATATCTAAAATGCCTTGAGTTGTTTGCCAATAACTAAAATCTAGAATATAGTTTATTACAACACAATGCTGTATAATTAATTTAATTAGAAATATTATTATGATTGTAAACCGATTTCACAGGAATTATGTAAATTGTCTAAACACTCTTAACTGTTCTGTGCAATGTTATATAGTCAGTTTTATAAGCGATTCTTATAGAAAATTTCTAAACTATTATTATAATCTTTATTTTTTGATGAGATAGTGAGTCTGGAGAGCTCGACTGCAGAGTGCAGACTCACCCTGCGTTCACGGCAGCATAATATGCTCACACTCAGGTACCAATAATTAAACAATATTAATGAACAATTTACTTATATCAATATCATAATACGACTTTTACGTATAGTACAATTCGTTTTGAACTTAAATTTATTTTAGAACAGGTGCAGCACAAGAAAGTCACTTTTCCGGAAAGTAGTACAATAGTACAGGGCTCTGATTATATGTAGTAACAATATAGTATACGATGTATACGTCTTTACTACTGTATAGTGTATAGGAATTTAAAAAATGTAGTTGCAAAATAAAATGTAAGAAATGTGCTTGTCGTGATATAGTAATAAGATAATATGGAACTCGAAATAATGCCATATAAGTATTTATCTAATTGAAAAAACATTTTAATGATAATTAATTTAGTTGTATAAAAACTATTTGTATCCTTACATAATAATACCACGTTGCTTAAAGAACCATAGAGCCCTAGCCATAGGTAGTCAATATTCTTATTTCTATAAATATAGTAGTATAATCTCCTACATTTACTAGGCAATAGGCAATGACATAAAATACTGGGATAATAAAATATAACATCAATTACTAGACAAAATAGGTGACTTCATTATTATGCGTCCAGTCATTCTCTTCAGTTCCTAATTATCATCATTATTTCATTGTTACTAACATATATGTATACATATAAATATATAATATATATCAACATATCATTTATAAATAAGTCATCGTTCGTCGATTCCGAACACATCATCGCTTTGTATAGATTGTGGCAGCCGGTCATTTTGACCTCCCCTGCAGTATATCAGCTTTCATGATGTCGATTCGTTATAACGAAATTATTTCGATCTTTTCGCTTCTTTTATTATACTCGACGGACCTCGCCGCGCATATTATACGACGTATAATGATAATAATAATAGTAATGATATAATATACACCGCGGCGGTCGTCCATTGGAAAACTCTGTCCGCCCACCCATCGTCGCCCAGTAATGGGATCATAAGAGGATTTCGATAACGCGATCGCGATGTACCGTTCGAACGGTTTCGTCTGTACATCTCGTGGGAAATATAATACCGCGTTGAAAAGTGTCTTAATAATTTCCTTGGGACTACGCGTAACGGCTCAATGCCCGGTATATTCCGGTATATTATAGTCATTTGGATAGCATTAGGTACAGTCTATTCGCCTGCACAATAAGGGGTGGTGTGGATTTAGGAAAGCTGCACGGCAACGCTATTGGAAATAGTTTTACTTTATATTATATAAAATATATATATTTTATATAGATGAATATATATAGAGGGGGCCAGCCAGGGGGAAAAGGAGATAGAAGGAGATAGAGAGAGAGTTCAAACTATTCTCTTGAACTGTGTATATATATTTTATATATATATATATACATATAAGAATAAGATCATTCTATTCGATATAAATAAATGGATCTTAAAAGTAAAATAACATGTTCAATCGTTACGTTTTAAAGTAATATCACCCGCGGGTCCTATTTAACGAAACTATATTATTATATAGTGGTTTTCGCTATCCTCTAAATTTCATTATCATTGAATATAGTATAATATTAAATAAGTATAACAACTAACCAATAATCGAGAAAAACAAAAAACAAAAAGTCTAATACGAGGATGTGTTGAGTTCTTAATTTATATTGAAACTATCAATAATGCGTAATAACGTATAATATTGATTGTAATCTCGATGCGTATAATACGCGTTGCCTATTGGCTATTATAATACTTTTTGTGGTGTTGTTGTGGGATTAAAAATTGTATTATGATTTTATATCGTATATCGATTTTGTTGACAGTTTCTCTTGTCGACATCGTGGGTCTCTCATTGTGAGTCATCAAGAGGTAATTTGTGCACCTAAGTATTTGTTTTATAATTTTAGTAGGTACTTACATAAGTCGTGAATGAAATATTCAACATGAAGTATTTACCATCCTGATATCATATACCCATGATAGGTAGTTTAATATTTACATTTAAATATTTAATTTAGTCTACGATTATTCGTCATAAGTCATAACCAGGGTTGTTCGGAATTGTTGTACCGTTACTTTTGGGAAAGTTTGACGCCCTTTTTAGTTGGTCGATCCTGTTATTTAACGGATTGAAAATTATACGAAAAACATACAAAACATAGTCAAAAAAGGAATTGCGAAAACTTAAAAAAGTATCAAGGTTAAGGAAACAAATTGATGTTATATATTCTGATGTATTTAGTGTACTTTTACACTTTTTCGACATGATCTTTGCTATCAAAGCATATGTTGAGAATAAACTAGTCGAGTATTTATAAAAAAAAGTTACAAGTATGGGACAGACATAATATATTTCTATTAACTTTCTTCTACATTATTCATTAGAGCTATTAAACTAAATATTAATGATTTATATTTGGTTATGAGATATTACTATTTATGTAGGTACTGTGTTTTTAACAGAAAACTTCAAGAAAGTAACAATACAATAATTTTCTATATTATGTATATAATTTTAATTTCATGAAATAGTAGTCGATTTAGGTACTGCAAATATGACATTGACAAGAATTTTATGTAAAATATCATATTTTTTTCTTGATACCCGTTAGTAGGTATTATAAATTATAATTTCATTACCTACCTATAGGTAATATGTGAAAAATACAATAAAAAGTATTTTATTTATTAATTGTATAAATAGTCATATTATATCATGTAAAATTAAATTATTTAAATACATATTATTATATTGAACAATATACGGATTATTGGCTTACTTGAATTTGACATACGATTTCCGAGTATGGCCAGCAATGGACTAGAGCCGAAAAAGCAGCTAACGGTGTAACTAGCAGTCCAATGGCCAAGTCATTGCAAGCGAGAGATGTCACCAAGTACCGAGGCTGAAAATTAACGAAAACAAAGTTCTATAGGTAACTAAATTATTTATTTGAATACACATGTAATACAAGGTAGGTATGGTAAGGTATGGAAGGTATGGTATGATAGGTAATGTAGGTATACATAACCTACATTATAATATTATGTATGGACTATATTAATATAATACGTGTATTATTATATTATTTATTAAAAGTACGGACTGTTAACCCAATGGTTACATTACAAGAAACATTCAAGTAGGTACACGAAATATAGGCATACAAAAAGATATGATAATTAATAACAGGAACAATTAATAATAATTTTTTTTTTTCACACACGTTGTCCTCCCCCTACCGACATTAACAACCCACAAATAAACCACTACAGCTAATGGCCATAGTTGCCGAAGCTTAAGATCAATAAAAAAAAAAAAAAAAATTAATAATAAACAAAAAAATATCTATAATATAAGATACAGTAAACTAATTATAAGAGATATAACAGAATGATATTATGTAAAAAAATGAATAGAAATGTTTACCTGTGGGTGTATAAACTTCGTATATCTTTCGCTGTTGATCGTGACTATTACCATAAGATTAGCGACGAGTATGGCCACTGTGAGCAACGAGACGAATGCACTCTCTGTAATACCCGATACGGTTATGCGAAATAATAGACCGTTGGTGTAGATACGTGGATGCCAGCAACTGCTATTGTACAAAAGTGGAGCCGTTAGCACTGTTGACCTGCCAGCCCTCATTTTCTTACATGGTTTTATTCTAAAAAAAAAAATTTCCCATCTTGATAAATTGAATATTATATATAATATGCAATAATTAATAGTTATTGTTTATTCCTTAAAAAAAAAAACCACCGAGACCAATAATACGACTCAAATTATTTGAAATATGACGAATCTATATATTCAATTCCTCAAATAATAATAATAGTAATAATAAAAAAAAAAAAATAAGAAACAAAAATATAATCGAACTGTTAAGTGTTTCTGATGTGTGCTGAATGCCTGAATATGACATATTACATTGTAATATCTATAGAGTATAACTTCAATAATTTAATTGTAAATTGATTGTTATAATAATTATAATATATAAATGATGGGTACCTTACTCTCGATCAAATAAATATTTAGGTATGTACGAATACCTATATTAATATAATAATATGTCTTTTTGTAGGCATATATTATTGAAAATACTCAATGCTACCATCTATTAAATATTGATATAAAGAACTTTTATACAGTTACTTATTGTATATAATGTATAATATATATGTTATGTACCTATATTGTATATTATTACCTACATGCAATGATTATAGATAATTGTATTTTCATGTATGCCTCCGAAATCATGACCGTTTAATGTTTATATATTTTTACGCTATAATATAATATATAGAACATATAGGTATTATTTATTATTATATAGAAATTAAATTAACTATATAGGTAATACTATATTGTAAATATTAAGTAAAAAAAAAATTGTTAGAATTCTCGATTTCCGTTTTTTCGCTGTGTAATGAAAATAAACTTTAAGTATAGGTACCTACTCTTTAAATTTAGATCTTATGGGTTCTATAATATGTTATCTTCATCTAAAACTTTGATCATTTCCGCGCATGCATACCATCCGGACCAGACAATTTCAAGTTTTAAGCTTTTTGCAAAAGGAATATAATAATGCTTTATAATTAATTTTTAATAATATTCCGTGGCACTTGTTTATTCTTTTTGATTATTAGATGACTTTTTATCATCATAAAATAATTATGGTGCAGAACTTTTTTAAATATTCAAGAACGCGTGATAGGTGGTTTTTCAACTTTATACCTTTGACAGAAGGCGGAAAGCAGAAATTATTATAATTATTTCTCTTGTTTATTACATTTTTAGTATTGATTAGGTACATAGTAATATTTATTTATTTGGTATTTAACGGGTAAGGCTCTGTTACAATAAACAACAACATTATTATTATAATCATTATGATAACAGAAAGTAGAGATAATAATAGTACGTAATAATAATAATAATAATAACAATAATAGTAGTAATAGTAAACAATGACAATAATCATATTATAACATAACATAGCCTAATTTTATAAGTTAAGAATTACAATACAATTTGAAAGAGTATAAATTTGATGAGCTGAACATATTAATTTTTAATTTATTAACGGTTTGCATTACGCTATTGCAGGGAGTGTTATTTGCATAGTTGCATGGTAACTTGTAGGCTTAAACGAAAAGTATTTGTCGATCGTGGGTTCAAAGTGGGTGTATAGAAGGTTAACGGCTTAAAAAATATGGACACTAAAAGTTACCAGCCAAAAGCTTATATAGGAAACATAATAGTCAAGACTTATACGTCTATGTTCCATCGTCTGAAGGTTTAGTATTATAGATGATAATGGATTATAAGTAGTGTGAGGTTTTTTAGGTATGGAGCATTTAATTGAGATGAAGCGTAAGACATTTTGTTGTACTTTTTCCAATTTTGTTTTTTTATCTAACAGAACCGTATTGGCGTATTCACAGATGGGTCATACGAACAGTAAATCGATTTTACAGCAAATTTATCGGTTAAGTCCACACAACTACTATTAATAAGAACTAACAATTGGTGCGATTTATTAATAACAATTTGAATATGACAATCGAGTTTTAGTTACAATATCATAATATATATTATAATCAATTTACTTTTAGCTATTATTATTATAGTTATAAATAGATATTTAAACAGATATGATGAGCGGAATGAACGGAAAATAGGGTATCCAGTATCCACATACTATGGGATAGCCACTTAAATTAGTTTGGAATCATATTCAACTTAAAAGTTCGAGTATAGAATATTCCAAATGTCGAGTATATTTTTTTTAAATAATGATTTTTCGTTTTTAATTTTAACTTTTAACATATTATTAACTTAAATGTTATTTATAACAAACTTCCTATCAAAAACATACCATATAGGTACATAAAATGTTTTAAGAACTTTTTAACCATAAAAAGTTGTTTTTAAAAACATTCCAAAACCAATACATTAAAAAACATTGTTCGAATTGTTATGTTTAGGTATATTATAGGCAGTACTATATACTTAAAAAGTTAAAATTTAAAGATATACAAAAAAACCTAAATTATATAATATATAAAATATCAATTTATCATACAACTTAAACATAAAAATTATGTTTTATGAATAATTAATAATATAATAATAATTGTATTGCTTAAACTTCAAAGAACCAATTTAATACGAATTATCAATTCATTTTTTTAATACCAACTATATACGAAAATCTACAATTCTGAACGAAGACGTGAGCGTTAGTTAGTCTAATTAGTAAGTATATTTTATGGCATATATAATATTGCTACTAAAGTAATTTATTCTTCTATTAGTAAAAAATTAATACGGTAGGTAGGTTGAATTAATTTTTGACGAAAACATTGCTTTTGAGAATATCATTGAGTGTATAATAATATACCAAGGTAGGTACATTCAAGATTTTAAGATACCACGATTAATATTTTTAAATTTTAACAAAATAGCTTTTCTTTGTTCAAATAGATATCTAATTTCAACCAATTTGAACTATAAATTTCTATAAAAAAAAATTGTATTTATATATTTTGTAAAATTTTTGGTTACTGCGTGAAATATTTATGTGAAACCTTGTATTAAATTGGTGGGTTCAAACTTCAAACTGTCATGAAATAATTTCTAAGTTAATAAGAGAGCAGATACAAGTACGATAATATAATGACAGACAATAGTAGTTGTAGTTGTATTGATAACAAATAAAAATATTACAATGAAAAACTTAATTTATTAATTTCCCGACATTTGAGTTTTATTTCTTGTCCATTCGGATTTCGGACTATATGTTTATGGCGATTTAAAGCAATTAGAAATTTGAATCTATTTATTTTTGTTATTTATTTTAAAATACTATGATAATGGAACCTACTATATTCGTTTTGGATTAATATAGATCGAGTGCACTCGTGCATGATAGTGCAGTCGACGTTTCCATAGGTAAATTGTTGCTTTTAAATTATTTTGTTTCCTTTGAACTACACAGTTTATTATACATTTCTTCTTATGTAGTCTGAAATGAGAACATATAAAACATATGCACGTGCTGCAGGGTGCAGGTTACGTTTTTGTTTGTTCGGATAATAATAATACAGAATAACAGTTTGTCGCGAAAGTTTAAACATTACAATGTAATGTAAGTTTGTTTAAACGGACTCAAGTTTTTCATTTTATATCAATTTGTTTCATGATAGATATTCATGGCTATTCTAGTTTGTATAGTAGTTTATCAACATTAATTTCAGTGACTCGTCTAGTCGTCTACAGTTTTGTTTTAGATTTAATATAGTACAAGTAATTACAATTTATTTTGAATAATCAATTATTCTAGCACTTAGATAGGTACCTACCTAAATAATATTAATTTTTTAAACAATTATTTAATAAATTAGATTTTTTATGTTTTTTTGAAAAGTTTATATTTTATAAAATAATATTTACTTAATAGAAATTATAAACAACATTATGTATAAGAAGGTTTAATTTTAATAATACAAGGCACCTGAAAAAATTTATCAATAAAAGTTAATTAAAAATCATGAATACCTTTTATTGTCCTTTTTATTAAAATATTTTTTACAATAAATTGTATTTATAAAAAAACACATCATGTCACATACATATTTATTGTAATGTTTGAGTTACAAATCAATTTGACGATTGAATTGTTAATAATAAAATTAAGTTTCTGATATAATACATAATATTACGTATATTATGGAACTTACAGTGGTGTATAATTTCAGTTATTGGAAATCAATTATTTATAATCTATTTTTATTTTGTTGATGGGCTATTGCAGTTTTCCGGTACGTATACTATAGGATTAAACTACATAGCCACATAGGTATCTATTTTTAACTCAAAACCAATGATCAAAAGTTGTTTCAGAAGAGAGCATTTTACCTGAAAATTTTCAAGATCATTTTGTAAAGGGGTGTAATTACACCACATGCATTGTGATTGATACCCAATTAAAATATATATTGATAATTTCGTCGAAAAAAAAACAACAATAATGTATACTAACGTCTTAAGCACGACAAATCCACAGTTTTTTTCTTCAGGCTTGTAACAATGATTTGTGACCTAGGAGAAAGTCACATTAACCCTACAGAAATACATACAACATTGCACCATTATATTTCAAGAAGACCCTCCTCTTTTCGGACTTTTATTATAACTCCTCGGGTTTGTCCGTATTATATACTCTTTTTCTCCCGATGTAACCCGGTTATATTCACCGAATCGTATTTACGACGTTCGGCGCTCAATAAAAATGTCATCGCACTAGTAGAACACGCGTTACTTCGGTGTGAGAGGTAGTCTTAGAAAATGGAAAGAAAGAGTAAACAAGAAAAAAAAATTATCGTTTTACGAGTGGGCGGAGGGGTATATTATGTGTACAATGCAATAATATAATGATGTCATTTTTATTATAGATAATATGGATAAATTGAGAAATGGTTAGGTACGTTTGATTTCATAAAACAGTTGATGTATTTTATACAACTTATTATGTATAAAATGTACATGAATGTAAAATTCTTATAATATGAATCATTATATAATCATTAATCATTATCAATTCCCATATTATATGTAATATATTACACACATTA